TCTTCCCCCTCTTTCTTGCACTTTTTCTGTCCGGCTGTTTCGTCCTCTTCTCTCTCTCTCTCTCTCTCTGTCTCTCTCTCTCTCTCTCTCTCTCTCTCTCTCTCTCTCTCCCCCCCTCTCTCTCTGGCGAATGTATTGCCTCAAGTCGTTGATAAATCAGCAAACATTCACATTGTCTTCGAATATATCGGTAGGACTCAAACTTTCAGCAGAAGAAAAAAGTACGGGCGTATCTGCTAAGTGTATTATGATCGGCTTTAACTTTCTGCATGTTATTAGAATGTCCACTATTATGTTATTCAAAAGAGAAAAAAACTACTGTTGTGAGGCAAAAAACGAAGCATGAAACAAAGTGTTCCTTGAAGAAAATTGTGTGTTGAAAATGGAGACCATAATTATGTTGTCAAGAGTTATCTGTCTGGGCCGGGTGGGTTGAGACTGGCCACGGGCAGTTAAATCACCCCGATGGTCGTTTTCTTCGTCTTGTCAGGAAAAGCAGACAATTTTGTTGTCTCCTTTTATCAAGCGCCTCTTGGAAATTGTCACTTCGCGTTTGACGAGTACATCCTCATACTTTGACTTTATTGAAAAATCAAGAGCGCTTTAAAGAAATGTTTAAAAAGTCAACTTAACGGAAAAACACCATTTGAATATGGGCTGGTAGATTAATCATCAATCTCGCCATGTTGCTTGTTCGAGAGTTTTCTGGGTTTTTGTTTGTTTGCTTGTTTATGGTCAATCAGTATAATTTCCAGTTACATTCTTCACTGTATTGTATTGGTAGGGTTGTTTTCTTTGGCAATCAATGTTATTATTTAATTCGTTGTTTTACTGCTGTCACAAAAGTTTACGATCGTTTTCTTCAGTGTGTGTTGTCACAAACTGGTTATTTTTAATTGCTTCCTCGTGTGAAAATAATTTTATCGACATCTCCAATTTTCTGCTATGACATTCTAACCCACTTTGACTGAGTTGGTCCTGACATGCAGGGTTGGAGCAGCCTGCTTCCTAAATGCTCTAAATAGTGTCGATTGGAGCGTAAAGCTTCATTATACAAAGGAAATAACAGCGTCATTATGTTCCTGTCCCGGTATTTTAATGATTTTCCTAATGGACGAAATTGTTGTGTTCTTGCAGTGCGAGAGAACTTTAACATTGGTGCTAGCTTAGTGCTTATATCAACCGTCCTCATGTGTGACCAAGAATTAATAATGCTTCCTTTCACGAGGAGCTCTGTGCATCACGGTAGTCTGACAGAGGAGACGAATCAAACGAAGCATATTATTGTGTTGGCATCCGCACCAGACCGCTCCTTGTTTTTTTTTTTCTCCCAGTAGGTTCTGTAGGAATTGTCATAGCATTGTCTTTATCAGAATATAGATGTAGTTTTGTGTTTTTCTTAATTTGTTAGAAAGAGACTAGGCGCACCCCCCCCCTCCCCGGCAAGTAGTGTGTTGTTTTTTGCACTGATGGTTTTAAGTGTTACTTTTATTTTCTGTGTTCACGGTTAGCTGTGACCTTTATCATGCTGACTCGTCGTAAACTGCACCTCAGCAACGGTCTTCCTGGCATGTTGGCAGTTAAAGAAAAACAAAACAACAACAGCATGATTGCTTTTTGTTTTTAACTCCACCCCTCCCCCTCCCCCCGTCGTTTTGAGACTATCAGGGGTAGTATGTTGCTGATCGGTGCGGGCGGTTCTAAAAGTGTGTCGATGTCAAAAGCAGTGATTTTATAAGTATTTATATCGCTAGAATGGCAAGTAAAGGTGGTTGATGAGCGTTCTAGTGTGGTTTGCACATTCTTTCCTGTCGAACATCTATAGTCATTATCTATCACCATTCTTTTCTGTGCTTGTTATTCTCTTTGAGTATCACCTGTAATCTTCAGCACAGTAGCAAGTGCCGTAAAAGACTTACTAAAACTAAACAAAAATGACAAGTTCAAGTTATCTGTTTTCCTCTTTTTTTATTCAAAAGCAAAGAAAGTTGGAATTGAATGCAGGAATTTGCTCGAATTGATAACGTAATTCTATTTCTGTTTTCTTCAAGCAAACAGAACCTCATGGTCAGACGCTGAGAGATTGAAGAGAATGCACGGAAGGCATTCCAGAAATACCGGTTGTTGGATGACCAGTGCAGGTTACCTGTGCAATGTCTTACTGACATGCAATGCTCAATAGAAAACAGATGCCATGTGCCTAGGGTTGTACTGGTGTATGTGTCTTATCCAGCCTCATTTACCTGCCGTTATTGTAGTTGTTAGCATTCTGGACTGTTGTGCTTTAGGGGACTCACTTCGCTTTCCCTATTTATTCAGTAAGTGTTTGCAGAGATTCTGAAGCACTCCGCCACTATGGTTCGGTTTCCTTGGAGCAGGAAGTCAAGCTGGAGATCCTGCCCTTTTTTTTATTACTTTGAAAGAGTTGTAGATTATGATTTTTAAGAATACAAAACCGAACAAAATGACCCTCTTCCCTTTCATGAAATGCTTGCCATTAGCTGATTTAGTCTTTTTCCACATTCATAGTTGACCCACCCCCCTTCTCTTTATTTCTTTTCATTGATTTGTTCTTTCTTTAGTGGGGTAGACAAAGGAAGAGAGAGAGAGAGAGAGAGAGAGAGAGAGAGAGAGAGAGAGAGAGAGAGAGAGAGAGAGAGAGAGCAGACTGACATGTGCCGAAGAAAGAGGATTTATTATTGACCCTCTTGGTTTTTGTTATTACTCTCCTCTCCTCTCTTTTTCTCGCTGCTCCGTATGGTCACCCGTCCATAGTGATATAGAACTCATTAATTCTCGTATTTTTGTGCCTTCAGGCTGCCCGACCTACGTCGTTTTGCATATGCGATTAATTTGCTCGTCCTCTACGCACTCCCATTCTCTCAAGATATTTCGTTCTCATACTTTGTAGTGCTTTTCTGATGCTTCCTTCATTACAGCCTGATGGGCAAATAAAATGGGACCAATCTTTATGATATGATTAAATCGTGTACAGAATTGGGAGTGAAAAGGCCTTTTTCTTTTAAGACCCTATTGATATAATATAATCAGTAGATGCAGGATCACAGAGAAAGTCAAGCAATAAAGATCTTGATTGAAGGATAGTCACTGGGATGTGTTTTTAAGTATAATATGTTTACCATTGTGGTAAGCTCTGTGCTGCGACGTGTTGAGTGCGTTAGTTTATTTAACTTATTTGAATTATTGTCAACCGTATGAAGTAGTAGTGGCGGGAGGATGGAGGGCACCCTGGTACGTCTTACCTCTTTACTTTCCCTTCGTTTTTTTTCTTTCTGTCAGTCTGGGTGGTTGGCGAGTGCTCTGGTGGGGTTTGCTTTTTCTTTCCTATCAAACATCTATCGTCCTTATCTCCCCTTCTTCTTTTTTCATGTTTGTTACTCGTTCAGATGACCTTATGCAGTTGCGAGCGCCGTAAAACCTCTACTATTACTAAAACTAAAAAAAGTTTTGTTCCCACTACTTTGTGGCCATTATTGTGTCGCTGTGTTTCTCTTTACTCAAAGAAAACGGACATACGTAGCAGTGTGTGTGTGTGTGTGTGTGTGTGTGTGTGTGTGTGTGTGTGTGTGTGTGTGTGTGTGTGTGTGTGTGTGTGTGTGTGTGTGTGTGTTGTCTCTTTTATTTGAATGTCTGCATACATCATGGGATGTATAATGTTTACGAGTATCAGTCTTATGTGGTCTTTTATTTATTTTCTAATGCAACGTCTGGGTGATTCTGTTATATTTAAATTTCATTCTTTCATTGTACCTGTCTTTCCTCATCACTAACCTTTGACAGTGTGTGATTGGCGGGTGATCTGGTGTGGTTTGCTCCTTCTTTTCTTATCAAACCTCTTTCGTCTTTATCTCCATTCCTTCTTTTTTATGAAGAACTCTTAATCTTCTGCACTTATAGGACATTGTTGTGTTGAAAGAGCCGTAAAACTCTTACAAAAACAAAACAAGTACCCGTCTTCCCACAACCCTGACCGTTGACATCTCCCCGACCCCGCCCACACTTTCCGATCACGTGACCTGAGGCCATAGACTGGCCTGCCATCCTTTTATTGGGTTAATTAATCATATTTATCAGATGGCACGGGCGTCACTTCACAAGTATCCCTATTGATGTTTCCGATACTTTCTCCCCCTTGTCTTTTACATATTCCACCTTTTCCCCTCATTAATTCATAGCTTAGCATACTGGTTTGCAACGATTTTTGTCTCCAAGGAGCCGGTTTATTTAAATTGATTTTCCTTTCAGATCCCGGGGGGATTTGAGAGGTTCGTGTGCTCAACACGCGAACTCCGTTTTCTATGTTTTTTTCTTACAGCCAAGCTGAAAGAAACTGGGAATTGAGAAAGAATATCTGAACAAACCATGTCGTTATTTATTATACCTAGATCAACGTGTACTTGACTCCGGGGCCCAGTGAAAGTTTGAAAGAGAACAACCCCATGCTGTGTGTAGCTTAATTAAGTATTGTGACTCAAGTGTGCAGATTGTTGGCCTCAGGTTCCTGAAAGCATTTGTGTTTCTCGGGAATGAAAGCCCCCTATTTAACGATCACAACTGAATAGACTGTTCTTTTTTATACTTGTCCATATTTAGCTATCCTCCCATGATCTCTTCTCTTCTTTATTTCATTCCTTGTAGGCGAGCAGTAAGCGAGGTGGGATCTTGCTGGAATGCAAAACTGGCGACTCTGGTCTGGGTCTTCAACAGAACTTACTGCAACTTTGATTTGCTGAAAGATATATTTTTTTTCGATCTTATCATAGTCTACTCCTCGATCTGTCCTGGTTGAGATAGATGTGTAATGAGGGGCTCTATTTCAAAATGGTGCCACTGGTAGGTCTACTTTACCTTTTCTCTGTTGTTTCTGTCTGTCTGTCTTACTTTTTCTCAGCACTAAATGACCATTATTGTATCGATGTGCTTTCTTTTACTCATATAAATAAACAAATCAAAATGGCCCACGTGCATTGAAAGTAGCCTTGAATCCATACTCTGACACTATACATTTCAAGTTGTGCTATTTTCCGACAGTAAAGCGGCTAAAATCGGTAACAGAGAGTTAATAAATGTTATTGGTCTAGAATGTTCTGCTCCTCTATTAATTGTCCATTGAGCTTTGCGTTTTCGTCTAAAATTTTCATCTTTTACTACCGCTCAAAATGACTCCACTGCGCGGTACACAGGAATCCGTCGATATTCGTTGAAGCCAGCAATAAAACAAAAAAAGTTCTGGACCAATGGCTTCTCCGAGATGGGGGAAATCGATAAGTGGAGTGAGGGGAAAAACACACGCGTGCATCGCGCAATAAGTCAACGAGAGCGTTACAGGTAGCACGATTGGCACTGACAGGAAATGTTTGAACATTTGAGGAAAGAAAGTGTATCCATAAATGATTTTCCCGAGATATGGAAAAGTGGGGAGGGCAAGGTGGGCTTGGGTGTTGTGGGGGGGGGGCATCGGAGGGATGAAGATAATAGTGAGAGGGAAAGGGGTGCGAGAGTTAAGGTGGAGAGAAAGGGGTTGAGAGAGAGAGAGAGAGAGACAGAGAGAGAGAGAGAGAGAGAGAGAGAGAGAGAGAGAGACAGAGACAGAGACAGAGACAGACAGACAGACAGACAGACAGACAGACAGACAGGGGAGACAGACAGACAGAGAGAGAGAGAGAGAGAGAGAGAGAGAGAGAGAGAGAGAGAGAGAGAGAGAGAGAGAGAGAGAGAGAGAGAGAGAGAGAGAGAGAGAGAGGCTGAGCCTGGATTGGGGGGGGGGGGAGATGCAATATTTCCCAAGTGACGCTCATCATAGCATGAATGATCTGCCTCGTGACCCAGACGCAGCGATATATAAAGCATGTTGTCCAGGCTAAAGCATTCGAGTATGGATTTTGCGATCCTAGCTACAATTTTAAATCTGTTTAAAACCACGAGCTGCAAAATATCGTTAGTTTTTATTTATAAAGATTCGAATGAAAAATGAGCATAGAAAAGTAAAATAGGGACATTTATATAAGGTCGTTTTCTCGTTCTGCCATGTCGATACATCGAGTTTCTTTTTATTTTCTGCCTCCTTAATTTCAGCCACACGCACTTCAGTTTTGGGAAGGATATTCTCTCGATGCGTCCTTTTGGCTTAGCAGACAGCACCATCGTCCTTCGCCAATTCTGTTTCTCATAATTCCTTACTGAGCTATTTTCAGGGCCTTTGAAATTATGTTTTTATATCTGTTGCAGTGTGCCATGTCTAGTGATATGCCTCATATATGTCCCTCCTCTTTTTCATGCTCTTTCTCTCTCCCCCCCCCTCTCTCTCTCTCTCTCTCTCTCTCTCTCTCTCTCTCTCTCTCTCTCTCTCTCTCCTCTCCCTTTCCCCCTTTCTCTTCCCCCCCTCTCTGCTACCCCGTCCCTTTTTTTCTATATCTCTCTGTGTATAATCTGTATGCCCTCTCCCTCCCAACGCCCAATCTACACCCCCCTCATCCCCACCTACCCACCCCAAACCGCCTCCCTCTTTTCATAATTGTATTTCCTAAGTTAATATTTGGGGGCTCTCGTGGCCTAGAGGTTAAGGTGTTCGCCTCTCATTCAAAGGTCCCGGGTTCGATCGAATCCGGGTAGCGACCAAAAAATGTTCTTCTCTAAATTTGTCTCCTTTCACCTCCTTTCCTACTCTCTAGCAATGTTCTGTCGTCTGCTTTCGTCTCCTCTTTTAGCCCCCCACCCCTTCACCTCCTTTGCCCCCTCCTCTGGGCTCCTGATTCTTTCTGCAGCCTTTCTACTGCTACTCATTGGCTTCTTCTTACTGCTGTCTTTCAGCCACACCCCTGATCTTCTTGGACAAGGGCGAAAAATCTCGGAGGTCCCGTGTGCAAGGTGTGCACGTTAAAGATCCCTTGGTGGTCTAAAATCGATAAGAGTAGGCTTCGGCCGCCACCCGGGCAAAATTCAAAATTTCCTACTAACTGAAAAAGTTTAATGTGTCCCGCGCGCTCATATGACCTTATGCAGTTGCGAGCGCCGTAAAACACTTACAAAAACAAACAAACAAACAAAGTTAGTATTTGCTAAGATAGTCCTGTTCACGTGTGGTTACTTGTCCTTCTTCCGGGTTGCCACTGTAAGTTACATAAGCCTTCTGACTGCTTCTGTGTACGGCTTAGCTTCTGAAACCGGTGATTCCCAAACACATGGTCATGACCCAACTAAAGGCCACAAGGCAGTTTCTGTAAAATTATTGGATTTAAGCGAAATTGGAAAACACCAAAATTGTTTCCGCCCCCTGGGAGACGTGGGATAATTTTGGTAAAATTATTGGATACAACTGAATTAGGAAACACTGAAATTGTTTCTGCCTTAGGGTTTGCTGGACCAGAAGCCTTTGGCTTCAGACAGGGCGCCAATCGATTGGGAAGTAATAGATGTAACAGAAGTGTGTCTGATTTTTTACCTTGTATTTTGGACCCGTTTGTTTATTGGGTGTTGGGAGGGTGACATCTTTAGTTCTTACTTCTTTTGTAGGTGGTTGGCGGGTGCTCTGGTGTGGTTTTCTTCTTCTTTCATATCAAACATCTGCCGTCTTTATCTCACCTCCTTCTTTTTCGTGTTTATTACTCTCCTGTAACATCTCTAATCTTAGGCATTTATCTGACTTTATTGTGTTGCAAGTGCCGTAAAACACTTACTAAAACAATTTCTTCTTTTGTTTCTCTCTGTTAGTTCTGTCTATCTATCTGTCCGTTTAAATACATAAGCGAGTGGTTGGAGGGTGCCACTAGTAGGGTCTACTTCTTCACTTTCCTTGTGATGTTTCTGTCGATCATGCATTTCCCCAGCACTAAATGGCCGTTATAGTGTCGATGTGCTTCTTTTTACTCAAACAAAACAAACTGAAACAGGCCTACATAAGATACATTTTATTGGGGTTGATAGGAGGGCGTCATTGGAAGGTCCCATTTGTGTTCTGCCCCTCTAATGATTCATCCTTTCTGTCTTACATTTCCCCTGCAATAAATGACCGTTGTTGTGTTGATGTACTTCTCTCTTTCCCCAAACAAACAAAGATGACTGTTTGAGTGTCTGACATATACACGAAGAATGAATTGTTGTTCTCTTCTATTGCCAATATACGCACAACACCAGACACTCGTTCAAGAAGGGAGTATTTCTATTTTTTATGTTTGATCGTGGATTACATCAAGCTTTAAAATATGCTTCTGCCGTATGTTCGATATAGAATAGGCGAAAATACGACAGAGGAGCATTACGCCGAGCCCCC